GTAGGGAAAACCTTTGTCGGTAATTTCAAAATTTACTGAAATTTCGACGGTATAAATTTAATGACGGTTATCAAACAATTTAATGTCGTAGTTTTTTTCAAGAAAATTCGAGTCATCGGGAGTCATTGATTTATATAGCTGACGGTTCTTTCATCGGTAATAGCAACGACATATACGCGGGAAAATGACGCATCCTAAAGATAAAATCGTCGGTTATGCGTTGTTTATATTTCGTTTTCTATAACTAACACGATAACTGTAGGAAAAGCGTCGCACCTATCAGTTTTTTACGCAGGTAAAAACTGTCGGTTAAGCGTTCTTTTATATATCTGAGTTTAAGGTTGGAAAAGTTTCGCGTCCGTCATATTTTGTGACGCCCTTAAGAATTTGGTTTTGTGTCGGTTGGGCGTTGGAAGCAATGTCCATCTGCTAGTCATTAGTTTTGCCCATGAATACGTTTAGAACCGTCGCAAAACCAATGTCACGGACAAATAGTCCCACATCGGCTAGGTGTAGGGCCAAAAAACAGTATTTAAGTTCTGGGTTGCCCACCTCTCTTAAGGGCTCTTTTGGGAGGTGATAAGTGGTATCAGGTGGTATCAGGTGGTATCAGAGCAGATTACTGCCTGTTAGGTGTGTGGACTCTCCATAGTCGAGTACATTATTGTTCACAGAAGAAATATATATTCAAATGTACATAAACATAAAAAAAGACAAAAGCCTCTGCTAATCATCATCCTCTATCTCGTCAATCTCATCTTCATCGTCCTCCGTCGCTTCCACCTCCTATAATGCTGCCACTTCCTTGTCACACTCACTCATCTGTTGTCTAAAGGAATCCAACTTAGCCTTTAGCTTTACCATGATGTTGGCCTCCAACTTCGGCCTCATCTGAGAGAAGCTGACCTCCATATCAACATATAATGTTGCAATACACATGGAGATCTCTTCATCATGTGTGGAAGAGGTAGAAGCTACAATTGAACTGGAAGAGGGGTGAGCGTCGTAAGTAAACCCCTACGACATGGCTCGTAGACTCAACCATTCTTCTTCTCTCTAGCAGCCTCCCTCCACAAGTCATACTCGGAAGGATCACACTAACAGATTGTGATACCTTCCGACGTTGGGATTGGCTCTCCTTCATATGTTGGAATGTCTCATGCAAATAAAAGTAGTTACACTTAGTTAGAGCTAATATGTATTAACATCAAACTAGTTTAGTTCGTCAATTATCTGGGTCGCACGTGATCTGTGATTGATACAGGATTGGTCGGACCGCCTCCTGTGGATGTGCTCATGTAGATCGACGACGGAGGGCTCCCATCCAATCTCGATAGCTTGTCCATAAAACAAAATTGTTAAAATACTTTTTCAAACTACAGAAAACCTTATAAAATAAATGAAATATTGTCAGCTTCCGTTTGTATTCCGTATATGGGAGCGCCCCACCATTGTACTTGGAGGACCCCATGCCTCCACACTCTGATCGTCTATTCTATTTTATGTGTTCCCTCTTCTTCAGGTAGCTCCGAGACTCTCAGGCCCTAAGCAGTATGACAAAAACATCCCCTCTGGGCCATAGAGGACACTGTCGCGATTTTCATATATCACCAAATATGCCCGGTGTCAATTGCTACTCTTGCGCTCGAGACTGCATCGGATGTGTGCCTCGTGTTGAGGGTTCAGGGAGAATTATTTCTGTAAATAGTACAATGATTATGTTCAATTAATAAATAAATAAAAACAAATTAAGTTCTTTGAGAATGATACTTATCGCAAACTCTTGAAACCAAAGATCTCGACTGGCTATCAGAATCTCCTTCCATGACAAGTATTTTGAGTCATATTTGCTTTGAATGATATCACGAATGACATGAATAGTCTGGGCTAGGGGTAGAACCTTAAAATAATAATTTTTTAGTTTTATATTCAATTAAGAAAATAGAAATATTGTTGATAATATCCTAAAAAAACTTTAGTATTGCCGACAAACTCAATGTGGTAGTTGTTGTCTCTCAACTGCTGCCCGATAAAGGCAGTGAGGGCCTTTGATACACTCAAATCCATTGCAGTCATGGTGGAGGAAGGGGTGGGGGCAAGCACGAGGTGAGGGTGGGTGTGCGGGTGAGTGTGGGGGAGGGTGCGGATGTGAAGTTCGGGCCAGTGACTGGGGGTGAATGTGGGGACAAGGGTGGTGGCGATGGGGGGTGGAGGCGAAGGGGGTGAGAGCTATGGCGGGGTGGGGGGGTGAGAGCTATGGCGGGTTGAGTGTGGGGGCGGTAAGGGCGGTGGTATGTGTGGAAGTGAGGGTGGAATGGGTGTCGAAGTTGGGTGGCCTATCTTGATGTTCTTCTTTTTCAGATAGCCTTGTGACCCACGCCTCTTTAAGTAGTAAGAGAGACTGTCCCTGTCTATAGTCGACATTTGCAACAAGGAGAATAAATTTTATTTATTAGTGCACATAATGCATATTATGTAATAAAATTAAAACAATAAAATATGTAATAAACATAAAACACATAAGTATGTAATAGGTAGGTAGACGAAACTGTAAATTGCAAGTTACAACTATTAAAATATAAAACACAAAACTACGTAATAAACTGAAATATAAATTCAACAAAAAGTACAATAAACTTACTCAACATCATCTGAATAGTGACTTAAGGATATAGTCATTATCTCTTCCTTAAAC